GTTAGAAATTCATAACTCCTTCATCTAAACTTCGTTTTCGCCTGTCTTTTTACCGTTGCACTACTAATAACGACATCTTCGATTCTCATTTAGATTCTTTCGACCAAAAATCACTCGATCTCAAATTCGAGTTTCGGACTGCATACTGCTAAGCTGAAACTTAGAAAAACCATAACTTCCTCATACGAATTTATATTTGGGCATTATTTTTATGCCCGCTCTCGGTTTAATGAGCTCTATGACTTTCGTTTAGATACCTAAGGCTAGATATCTATCTTAAATTCATATTTTACGTCACTCAACGTCGTGTCGGTTCTGTTGCGAAACTTCAACAGATCATAACTTCTTCGTTATAACTCGGATTTCGGCATTCTTTATATATTCGGAAACCTTGTCACTGTTGTCAGTCGTCGTAAATCAGAAATCAGGAAACAACACATAGACAGAGAGAATGATTTAAATCCATGTCTCAGTCTATACGATATTTAGAATGAAGGAATATATGATCTCTTATCTAAAGGACGCGTATCTGATAAGATCAGAGTTGACAGCGGCTTTTGAAAGCTGCAATTGCGGATCAGGATCTGAAGTCATATGCATAATAGTTATTAGACTTATCCAAGTGGGAGACTGTTGGATTAGTGTCTAAGTTCATTACTATTTTGGTATGTACTTGACCCGATGGTGCATGGTCCTTTTGGGTTGCCTTCACCAAAGCAACTTGATAAGATGAATTATGGAGAGAGAGGATTAATTATGATTTATTAATATATTATGAGAATAATATATTAAAGGATAAATCATATTGGTTAATTAATATTAGTCAATAATTAATTAAGAATTAATTTTGTGGCTAAAAGACATTAATTAAACTTAACGGACTAGAACTATCAATATGATAGTTGAATATTGGGCTGATGGACTCCATATTAGAGGGGTGGATGAATTCTACGGGGAAACCCATTAGAAATCGTCCTAGGCCTCTAAGGAGGGAGTCCATGGGTTGCTTAGGGCTTAAGCAATCAAATTAAGGTTTCCTTGTTAGATAACCCTAATAGTCTCACTATTTAAGGATCCCTAGAGCACCAAAAACGTGGCTAAGAGTTTCTTTAGGGTTTCCACACATTTTTGGGTACCTCCTCTCTTATCATTCTTCATCCTCTTGCTCGTGGTGTTTGTGAGCCATTAGAGGAGTGACACTTATGACTCTAAGCTTTCTGAAGCCATTACAAGGAGGATTTGAGTTGTTATTACTATATAACAACAAAAGGTATGTATTCTAATCTTCTAGGTGAATTTCGAAAATAGTATGACTCATTAGGGTTTTATTATTTGTTCATAATGTTGTGTAACTAATAGTAAAACATAGATCCAATTCTAGGGTTGCATGCACGCATAGGATTGTTTGTATAAAACCCATCAATGGTATCAAAGCCAGGTTTTTGTTTTCAATTAGCTTTTATTCAAATGTATGAACTTGACATATTAGGGTTTATGGTTAATAAACCCTGAAGGCTAGGTATTTTTCGCAATTATGGTTGCAAAACCCTAGTTGGCGATTTTTTGCTAGGGTTTCCCAAACCCTTTCCTTAGCCTCCACGATTTTGAAATTTAGGGTTATAAAAATCTTGGATTTCGAAATTACCTCCTTCCCCAAGGTTAGATCCTAAATTTTAGGGATTTGGATTATCCTATATCCCTAAAACCCTTGGATTTCGACCAGCTCGCCAAATCATTTCTGATTTAGCAGCTATAAGCAAATGGGTCAAATCAATGAGGGTCACGTCATGATCCATCATATAGTACTCTCTTGCGAACTCACTATATGATTCAGGAAGCGACTGAAGAATCCAGTCAACATCCAACTTACTTGAAATCTCGACACCCAACATCCTTAACCTTTCAATGTGTTACTTCATCTCTAAGACGTGTACACACACAGGTTTCCCATGTTTACTTGCCAAAAGGGCTTGAGTGAGCTTGAACTTTTCAAGCCTTCGAACTTGTGGGTTAGGTAGAATAATTGGAGGAGGTGGAGGAAGTGAAACATGATCTCTTGTTCCTCGATCGAATCGTGGAATATCATCTTCATGTGGAAAGCTTGTTCCACGGGATTCGGGAATACCATAGTTGTCGTACTTTGATTTCTACAAAACGGGAGAAACTAAATTCAAGTTAGTTGATTGATTGAGTCCTTAATAATTCACCCAAATGAGATATTAAGGCTAGGACCCAACACAATACGCTACAACCTAGAAAGGGGATGCTGTAATCTAGTTGCAGAATATTTGAAGGTAGGTAAATGACGATTTACCAATTTCCACCATGAAAAACGAAAGAGAAATTTAAGTTTTAAAATATATGAAACCTCCTAGATCCTTTGAGATTCATTGAACTTTTCAATGGCATGTTTAAATCTTGATATGCCCCTCTAGTTTGTGACTGGGATACCGAGGATCACAAAGCGAGTGTGAATAACCATGCAAACTTACATGGTGCCCCCACATATTACAGTCACCTATTCGATGTGCCGGTTAACCACACACGCTCCACAGAACTATGACAAACATCAAGTCACCCTTTGCTACCTTTGCTTAGAACCATTTAGTGTGTCGGTTAACCACATACGCTCCACTAACGTCTTCGCAAGGGCACAAAGTGTAATTTTATGGAATTACATCAATTCACTTTTGCCTAAAGTAACTAAGATTGGGAATTTTGTAAAACTTTTAGTTACTTTATACTTCATTATACTTTTAATGGAAAGTGTTTGTCCTATCCTACCCGTTCGGCTAACGACCCTCACCAATCAAGGAAGCGGTAGGTAAGAGTGTATACCCATTAAACGACCATTTAATAGGTCATAACCTTATACCCACCCTTATAGACCGGCTTCGTGAATGAGACATACTAACGTTAAGACTAGCATTTTAGTTATACATATATAATATTAAACTTTTAATGTTATACATAGTATAAGGGTGTATTTTACACTTTTAAAATACTAGGTGGTTTAAATTATACTTTTAATTAACCAAAATCATTATGGATTTATTAACTCTCTTTTAATTATATACTTAATTAATTTAATAAAACCATAAGAGTTTAATTTGAACTTTTCAAAATTAGGGTTTTGGAATTTAGACTTTCAAAATTAACTTTTAATCAACAATTTAAATTCCAAAACTTAGGACAAGTTTTGAAAATTTTCAAAACAATTAGGTTTTAATCTCACTTAAAATTTTCGAATTTAAGACATTTAAATTAAAATTTTAAATAGTAAATTTTAGTTTTTTAAAAAAATACATATATATTTTTTAATTTTTTTTAGAAAACATGAACTTTTTAAAAAATAGAAAAAAATATATTTTTTAAAAAACTATGATTTTTTTAAAATCAGTAATTCTTTTGAAAAAAATGGAATATTTAAAAAATACTATAACTTTTTTACCAAAGAAATCAACGTTGGTGCATATATGCTTATTTTTTCAAGTATATGTATGCATATTTCTTATAATATAATATTCTTAATAATCATTAAAAAACTAATTTTTATTTACTAATCTATGAATACAATAACACAAGTATTTTATTCAATATAAATGAAAATATAGAAAACAAAAAATGGTACTAAATTTTCAAAGCATTTTTATATCTTCGTGTCAAGATTTCAATAGTTATTTTTTCAGTTTATCAATTTTCATCTCTTCAATGTTTTCTATAATTTTTTTCAAATCTACAAGAAAATTAAAAAGAAAAATAAATTAATGCAAGATTTACATATGAAATTCACATGTGAATGTATCATATAAGAGTCACATTTGATTATACGATGTGATATTAACATGTGATTTTATCATGAAATATTTAAATGTGAAATTTACAGGTGATTATATCCATGGAGGGCTTAGAGGGGGGCAAAGTGGGCAGCTGCACAGGGTCCAATTTTTTTCATTATATATTTTTATTTAGAAATACAAAATTATAATAAAGATAAGGACCCTTTTTTTCTTGTTCGTCCTGTGCCTTTAAGAATATTTCATTTTTCAGGACCGGCCCTGATTATATCGTTCATAAATATCTCTCATTCTCATGTGTTAATTTTTTTTAAAAAAACTAGATATAAATGTCAAAATATTTAAAAACTTTGAATTTATAAGAAAATAAGAAAAATAATAAATTATTATAATGAAAATGTTTTTTATCTTTTAAATTTAAATAAATAATTAAAATTACTAATGAGCTTTAATTTTTGGAATTTTGAAATTAAAATGTAAGTTTATTAGTTAAATTGATATTCATTTATTACTACATTTATTGTAATATATTATGTGAAATTTAATATAACAGAAAAATTTATAAAATAACATGTGGGAAAAAATAATTCAAAATAAACATAAAATAATATTTTACAAATTAAATGAGAATAACAAAAATAAAATATTTTTATTGAAGAAGATGTTATGATTGATATGTAAGTATATATGCAAGTAAAGAAAAAAAAAACAGTACATTTTACGTACGTACGTATAGTAATGTTATTTGAATTTTCTAAAAGCTTGATAAAGCCTTGTAGTTACTTGAAATTGTTTTTACAAAATCAATCGTACTGTGTTAAGATTTTTCTTGGAGATTCCATAATAAATGAATTTGAATAAAAAAAATAGATTTTTCAGTACGGTCGGGATTTTATATTAATTCAAATGATAAATATGATTAAAATTTTATATTTTCATTATGATAATCTAGATATTTTTAACGAAACAATTTAAACAGATTGTATGTATTAAGAACACATTTTAATTTGACTATTCCGTTGATCGGACTGTTTGATATATAATATCGACACCCCTAGCTAATCTCTATCATCTATCTTTTAAACGATATAACATCACTAGGTAATTACATGGCTTGAAATTATATGAGCAGTATATATGTAATTAGTAATCGAGGAAGAAGACTTTAAAGCACCAAAAGCAATATATTAATAAACAAAAGCAGTTGGTGAAACCCCTGAAACAGAAATTCATAAAAACTACCTAAAGCTCGAGGATCTAACACAAGTGACAAAGTGGAAATGGGAGATTGATTATGTCCAAAGAGACTCTCTTTTTAGAGGGTCCTGGATTACATGATTATTATTAGAAGAGGTGTAGCTCAGAAACTGTGGCATCTGGTCACTGAAATCACTTGTATTACTACCCGCTAACAGTAGTGATTTGGCATCACAATCCATCATTGACGGATGAGTTGTTGGCAACTCATGAGGCTCTTGTTGCATCTGGATGCATAAGATCTCAGCTTGAGCTACAGCAAGTTGCATTTGAAGCTGTGAGACTTGATTTTGTAAGTAGGAAATTGCACCAACACATCCGTAAACTGGATCTCTCATTCTTGCGTTTGCTTCATACACCAGACTGCTAACTGCATCTGCTCTTTGGTGAACTGGAAGCTCCTAATTAATATCACCGACATCATTTGATGAAAAAGTTAGATCAGATAAAGAACATATAAATATTCATGCATGGTATTTTAATTACTATATAATTAAATATATAAAGAACTCTAGTAGCTAGGAACCCTAGCTCTTTGACAAAAGGTAAGTTCTTGATACTTTAATTCAGTGTTTCACAATGTTTCTTTGAAACCACGCGTTTTCCAGTCTCTTAAAATTAAGTATTTGAAACTTTCTTGATTGTTCTACAAACAAGTTATGAAATTAATCATGGCGATTCAAAATGGGCTCACTACGCCATTTACACGTTATAAAGATGCGTGCCATCTTTAATTAGTTTTAAAAGAAACCCTAATCCAGAACATTTTTTGGCACTTGATCAGACAACCAACACCTATTTACATACATGTATTGGATGTATGTATGACTGTATGGAGAGAGAGAGAGAGAGAGAGAGAGAGAGAGAGAGAGAGAGAGAGAGAGAGAGAGAGAAAGAACCTGCAACATCTTGCTGACATTGCTAGCACCAAAGACCTTATGAACAATGGCAAACTTATGAGGATCATCAGGAGGAAAATAAGGAGCAAAGATGCAATCTTTGGCACAGCGACGCCTCAACAATTTGCAGGAGGCACATGGTGAACTTCCTGAGCCCATTTTTCTGGCCAAATGAAAAACTCTGGAGTTTTAATCAATCGACTATGAAACTCAGATATGAACAAGATCAGAAGACAAAAAGTAGAATAAAGTATAAAAGGTGTAGTTTGTAAAAGAATTAGCTTTGCCCATACCCTATTTATAATGGACCGGTCTCACTCATCTCATGTGGAATGAATTAAAACATTTTTAATTAATTGAATTACGTACACCATTTCTCCTTAGTCCTTATATCTAAGTAATTAAACAATTCAAACCCAATTAAATAAACGCAATTCTCTTTATTTCTGTTTAGCTTAATTTTATGTATGAAAATAACCGATATATATATATATATATATATATATATATATATATATATATATATATATATATATATATATATATATATATATATGTGTGTGTGTTGTGTATGTTCGAAGATATGTACACATATAGAGAGTACTTACATGTATACAGCATCTATTTCTTTTGTGACTCTATATCTGTGTACGTGACATGTAACATGTCTAGGAAAAGGCTAACCGGTACCGTTTTTCAAAATGTTTTTAGGTAGTGATTTGAAATATAACCAGTTGTATTTATCTTATGGTTATTATATAATAAAATATTAAATATATCCCTACATTTTTTTCTAATCATCTTTTTACTTATTTATATGGTGATAAGTTTTTTTTTAATATATTATTAATTATGTGTAAACGTTATGTATTATATGGGTTTATTTAAAAAAAATTAAATATGAAATTTTTAGTATTTGAAAAGTTTGAATTTATTAGAAAAAAATATTAAATTATTAAAATTAAAGTTTTTTCTTTTAAATTTAAATAAATAATTTAGATAAATAAACAAAGAAACTAATGAAGATTTAGTTTAGAAAATTTGAAATTGGAAAAGAAAATTAATTACTGAAAATGATATGTATGTAGTAATATGAGATATGACAAATATATATATATATATATATATATATATATATATATATATATATATATATATATATATATATATATATATATATATATAAATTCCATCTCTTTTATATGATTAAAAGTTTTCCCATGTAACATAAAATAATCAAAAGTCAATAAAGAATCAGATATGAAAACCGAACACAACTCGTTTAATTAAGAAAATAAAATAATACATTAATGATGAAAACCAGCTAAGACCAATGTGAGGAAAAATGGGATTTCTTTTATTTTGAAAAAGTTTGAAAATTGTCTCTTTTATACATGCATTATGGAGTTTGCCTTTTCAGCAACAATTGCAAAGCATGTGAAGATTACGTCTTTCCCAATTTAAAAAATCAACTCCAAGTTAATATATCAAATCAACTTATATATATATATATATATATATATATATATATATATATATATATATATATATATATATATATATATATATATATATATATATATATCAAAGTTCTAAAAAGTTTGTCATAGCTCCGTCATGGAGCGCCACGGCTCCAAGGCTTGCACTTGCCAACATGCTTTGCCAAAACGCCGCCTTAACTCATATATGTGTATAAAAATGAATAATAATTGAAAATACATATAAAAATATTTATTATATAGAAAATTGTCACCTTAAGTCACGCCTTACAAACGTCATGACTCGCCAAGGCTCGAAAATACTTGAGGCTTGATATTGCCATTGAAAAGTTCAATGAATCTCAAAAGAATTTAGGAGTTTCAAAACTAATTAAAACCTAATAATTTATTTCGTTTTTCGTGGTGGAAATTGGTGAATCGTCATTCACCTACCTTCAAATATTTTATAGCTTGATTATGGCATCCCTCTTCTAAATTATAAAATATTGTGTTAGGTCCTAGCCTTAATATTACATTTGGGTGTCTTATTAAAGACTATCTTTATATCTAATCTAAACTTGTCTTTCTTTTTCAGATATCTTCCAGTAATGCTGCTTCTGGCTAAAACCCTATCGGTTCCTTCTCCCTCATAAACCTTTGTGGGAGAGTCATCTTTGATGGTTCCAACTTGATGGATTAGATCCGGAACATCAGGAAGGTCACTCGTTACGAGGACAAGGAATATGTCTTCGACAAGGAGCTTAAGAAACTTGATGAGTCGTCTGCTACTCCTGAGGAGATCGCTGAATTCTGGACTCATGAGAGAGATGCCACTAAAGTGGCATGTATCATGTTGGCCATAATAACAGCCGAGCTCTAAAAGTCCTATAAGGACTATTACCCTTTTGAGATGCACCAAGACTTGTTGGACTGCTATCATCAAAGTGCTCGTCAAGAGAGGTATGACATCATCTCCTCCATGATAACAACCCGGATGAAGGATGGTGAACCCATCACGTGCCACTTATAGAAAATGCAAAGGTATGTGGACCGTTTACTAAAGCTAAATGTGAACTTCCCCGAGGAGTTGACAATTGACATCATTTTGCACTTATTACCTTCTTGTTTTGATCATTTCCTAATGACATACCACATGAACAAGGAGGAAGTTACACTTAGAAAACTTCAAGGACTCTTGAAGACCGCCGAAAGTGGTCTTAAGGGTAAATCGGTTATTACCACTCCTACTTCTACCGCGGCCCTTGTCTTGGCAATCGGGCAAGGCAAAGGAAAGAAGAGGAAGAACCCTTCGAAGGGTACCAAGGGAAAGTCCCTTGATGACTCCTCTTCAAGTGGAACCAAGAAAGGTTCTGTCACTCATTCTGTCAACCCTAAAGAGGCTAAATGCTTCTATTGCCATGAAAAGTCGCATTGGAAGCGAAACTGCCCAAAGTACCTGCAAGACGTTAAGGATGAGAAAGTGAAACCCAACCATGCAGGTATTTACACTATATTGTCTAATAACCCACCCTATTCTAATTCTTGGATCCTTGATATAGGTTGTGGTATTCATATATGTTCTGATTTGTAGGGACTAAGAAGAAGTGAGAATGTGGAGCATGAGAAGATAAACTTGATCATGGGGAATAAGAAAGCTTCACCTGTCACCAAGATTGCAGTTTATTCTTTGTTGCTAAGTAGTATGTTAGTGTTAGATTTGAATAAATGTTGTTACTCGTCTGAAATGGAGAGAAATATTATTTCCTTTCATGGTTTGTACAAACAAGGGTTATCTTTTCTTTTGATAATGAATGTGGTGGTATTAATGCTTTCTTTAATAATGTTCTTTATTTTAAAGCATTACCTTGTGATGGAGGATATGAAACTATGTCGGTTGTAGCTAACCTAGGAAATAATGTGTTGTGTATTGATTCTTCCACAAACTTGGATAAATCATCATTATGGCATTGTCGTCTTGGACATGTAAGCAAGAAACGCATAGGCCAACTCTAAAAGGATGGAGTTTTGGAGTCATTTGACCTAAAGTCGGATTATAGTTGTCAATCTTGTTTGCTTGGGAAAATGACAAAATCACCTTCATTGGTACTTGTGCTAGGGTAAAAGTTTGTTTGACCTCATACATACTGATGTGTGTGGACCCTTCAGAACCGCCACAAGGGATGCTAACTACTTCTATGTGACTTTTACTGATGATTATAGTAGATATGGATATGTCTACTTAATCAAGCATAAGTCACAAACCTTTGAAAAGTTCAAGGAGTTTAAACAGGAAGTGGAGAATCAGCTGGGTAGGAACATTAAGATGCTTCGATCCGATCGACGGGGTGAGTATCTTACTATAGAATTCCTTGACTATCTTAAAGAATGTGGGATTGTCTCACAACTGACACCTCCTAGAACACCACATCTTAATGGTGTGGTTGAGAGGCGGAATCGAATCTTGGTGGACATGGTTTATTTCTTGATGAGTCGAGCTTCGCTACCAATCTCATTTTGGGGGTATGCCTTAGAGACTGCTGCCCATATTGTTAATCTAGTCCCGACCAAAAAGGTTGCCAAAACACATCACAAGATGTAGACTGGTAAAGCTCCCAATCTGGACCACATCAAGATTTAGGGTTGCGAGGCTTTCGTGAAGCGTGAGACTCACGATAAGCTTGAACCTCGAAGTGAGAGGTGTATTTTGATCGACTACCAACAGAATTCATTTGGTTACCTCTTCTATAGACCCAATGATAATGTGGTCTTTGTAGCAAGGAGGGGAGTCTTTCACGGGAGAGAGTTCATAAGCCAAGGAAATAGTGGGAGGCAAATTGACCTTGAAGAAATTCAAAAGTCAATTGATGAAGGAACCTCAAACCCTAGCAATCAACCTGAGGAGGAAACTCTTGTTGATCCAACTGACAAGTCTGTACCTCTGAGGCATTCCACGAGAGATAGGAATGTACCTGAGCATTACTATGGTTTCCATATTACTGCGGAAAGTGATACACTTATCAGTAATAACACACTGGTTAGTCTAGATGAACCTAACAGCTACATGGAAGCCAAGGCAGGCCCTGAGGCTGCTAAATGGAAAGAGGCTATGGACAGTGAGATACAGTCCATGTGTGACAATCATGTGACATCCCCAAAATCACGGCCAGAAAACACCGATTTCATTTATGCTTTTTAAAATAATTTCAGAGTAAATCCTTTTGATTTAAAAGTGTTGCGGAATTTGTTCCCAAAACAAAACATGATAAAATAATATTTATCAAAGCATTTCATCAAGAGATGCATTTTCATTATATAATCAAAACTCGGGATGTCATGTTCCGATACAGACCATAAAGCATAAACGATAACATTACAAGTCATTCAACAAATATATACATATACAGACTTGTAAACAAAACAACTTCGATGATTCATCCATCTTACGCCCTTACGCCACTTCCTGTAATACAAATAAAACTGAGTGGGTCAGGCTTGGGAGCCTGGTGAGCATATAGGGTTTTCAACCCACAATAAATAAATTATATTTAATTTCACTAACCAATCACTATCCCGATTACCCATTCCTGTTATCCTCACTTTACGTCCCTAAAACAACATCTATCTCAAGGGACCTAATCTAGGATTTTCATCGGGACGGACATTACTGCTAAGGGGTTTCCTCAACAATAGATATCCTAAAGGAAACCATGAGGGGGATAGAGTACACCGGTGAACACATCGTTCACAACACCTACAGGTTACGAACCTGCTAGCGTTCCACGAGACTGTCTAGAAGGAGTCTGTGGTCGTTATCCATATTCCGCTGAATAACAAGGTCAACAACAACAACATCAAGGCCTCTCATCTGTTTATTACACACCAACTATCTACCCATGTTCTACCCAACATATTAGTAGATAAAATATATATTTTTATACATAGTTTAAAACCTGTATAGCATTTTCATCCAATACATATTTCACATAACAGATGAGGCATACCCACATAACACGTATTTCATAGAAAACAAATCAGATCTATGAGATTGAAGAGAGTGAATATACATTTACGCACATAACAATAAAATTATACACATAACATGTATTTGTATAAAATACTTCATAATTATGCGTTAGAAGAAATTAACTACACACTCACTTGATCAGAAGATGATCGGACAACACTACGGCTTGTAGAAGTAGTAATCCTCAGCAGATCTGGAAGATCTCTACAAAAATCGAACTTCTCGCGGATACAGCTTCGGCTCGGAAATCGCACTTCTCGGGATCTCGGGACTTGCTTCGGGACTCGGGAATATTACCGGGGCTTCGGGGGTTAAAATGCAGAGCTTCGGTACGAAATGGAGGAGAAATGAGCAAATAAGCCCGGACCCCTCGCATCCTATTTATAGGAGGCTGAGGCCTCGCAGTTCGCAGGGCGTACTGCCTTACGCGGGGCGTAGGCCTCCGAAACGTCACTGCATGCGTCATCCGAAATCACTCGAGTGCGAGGTGCGTCATGCTTCGCGGTACGCGGGGCGTACGCCAGTACGCTGGGAGTACTTCGGATGAGTCCGATGACTTGCCTCCGGATAATACCGAATTTAATAATTAATTTTAATTATTAATTATTTAATAAACTTCGAAAATTCATATCTTCTTCATACGAACTCCGATCTCGACGTTATTTATATCCACGCGAAGGTGAGACTACGCTCTACAACTTTCGTTTAGACTCCGTCGGCTAATTTTGACTTTATTTTTATTATTTATTTTTAATAGGCCGGGACAGAAAATTTCGTTATAAATTCATAACTTCTTCGTTTGACGTCCATTCTCGCCTAACTTTTTATCGCTTTGATACTAACAACGAGATCTTCGAATCTCATTTAGATCACTAAGGCTAAATATCGCTCTAACGTAAATTGCACTTTTTACGTCATTCCGCGTTGCCGGTTCTGTCGCGAAACTTCAACAGGTCATAACTTCTTTGCTATAACTCGGATTTCGGCATTCTTTATATCCTCGAAAACCTTGTTTCAACTACTACAACATTATCTAAAGATATCAAGTTTATTTTATACTTAAATTTTGACGCTTATTTATTATTCTTAATTAATCAAACCACATAATTAAGAAATTAAGCACAAAACACATAATACTCAAATAATACACTTCTATTATTTCAAAACGGGTTACAAAGGTTAACCTACATTATTATATAATCAGTAATGATAGGCCCAGAAACACAGGCCTTACAGGCAATGCCAAGAGTGCTCCAAACGAATCTTGTATCTTGATCTTTTTCTTGATATTGTCAATTTGTACATAAAAATTTTCAAACTTTAATATTCATCTTTATCTATCTCTGTAGGTTTGGCACTTCAAGAATGTATATTGTGTTTCGTAAGTCTTTCATCTTAGAATCACCTTTCGAGTTAAGGTGAAACAATTTATACATAGTCAGAATGTAATATGTATGTATCATTCATACAATGCAAACTTAATCATTTTTAAGTGTTAACTAATTTGTATACAAACTTTTAAATTTCAATACTTCTAGAAGTTAAAACCAAATAATAATAATAATAATTTGAAACTTTGAGATCGTAAGTTGTTTATATGATAAAATGACCATTAATGAATATTAATAATATACTTTGAAAGCCATATTGTGATAGAGAATAAACAATCAAGAATTAAGGATAAGAGAAGAAAGTTACTTATATTATATATGGTAAAGATGAAAGTTTAGATACATATATGTGAAGCAATGAAGGACAAATAAAAATAATTCAAATTAATGTGGAAAAGGATAAATCATGTATCATGTAATATATATATATATATATATATATATATATATATATATATATATATATATATATATATATATATATATAATAGGCTTGCGAGCTCACTAATTGAAGCTCGGCTTAAACTCGTTTAACAAACGAGCCACATTTAGGCTCGATCCTAGATCGGGCTCATTTAATTCGATCTCGTGTCAAGTTTTTAGCGAGTTAATCCCTAGTAGTTAATGAGTAGATCGACTTACTTAAGCCTATATCTTTTACATGGTTCACAATTTAATTCAGAACATAAAACAACTCTAGTATTTGAATCGTGCGGCTATTGAGAGAATATTCTCAAGAGAGTGAACTGCGTGAAAAGGAGGGTTTTTTCCGGAGTAAGGAGGTTCCAACAGTTTCCTGCTGAGTTCGAAGAATTAACACAATAATTCAAAATTCAAAAGAGGGATGTCATAATCCAATTGAAAATTATTTGAAGGTAGGCAAATGACGATTTACCAATTCCACCGTGAAAACAAATTTTTTAAATGAATTAGGTTTTAAATGAAATTCCTAGATCTTTTAGGATCCATTGAACTGTTCAATGGCATGTTTAATCTCAATTTTACTATTTCCATTTGTGACTGAGATACTGAGGATCACAAACAAGGTGTGAATAACCATGCAAATTAGCTTGATATTTATCGATGTCATTTACCACCCAATCAATGTGTCAGTTAACCACACACGATCCATTGATCAATGATAATTTACGAACTACCTATTGCCACCCTTTATTAGTCAATATTAGTGTGTCAGTTAACCATACACGCTCCACTAACGACTTTTGTAAAGTGAAATATTTAATTTCATGTATTAGTAGGGATGAGAAAAAGAACCAAACCGGCCCGAACCGAACCAGACCAGGGGAACCGGCTTCGGCAAAAATGAAGAACCGAACCGGCCCGGCGGTTCTACCGGTTCCGGTTCTGGGTCCGGTTTTTCGAGTATGGAACCGGCTAAATTTTGATGTACCCAACGATTAAATTACTTTGCGTTTTATTGGTTTTTCGGGTCCGATTTTTGCCGGTTTTTCGAGTAATTCCAACGACTAATTTACTTTGCGTTTTATTGGTTTAGTGGATGTTTAAATACTAGTAAATAATCAACATTTTAATAATAAACGATTCAACATTGAAGCAAATTAACCATGGGTCTTTTATTTAAATTATTACAAGCAAATTAAACATGGATGTCGTCAAAGTTATATTATTAAGTATCCAACATTCAAAATACACTTTCGACATTCAAAATATACTTCCAAGTTTCACCAACAAAAAAAAAAGTCTAATATGTGGATTCCAACATTTCTTTGATATTTTGACTAATTTCCCGATCTCTTCCCCGTTAGCTTCAAGTTGTGTATAGCATCCACAATGTCTATATATAATTCAAAAGAAAAACGTTATTACTTACTAAAATGTAACAAATACTAATAAAAGTTAAAAATAAGATGTAACAAGTATTAGTGTATTACCGATAGCGAGGTCATCATCAGCTAACACATTGTGCACTTCGTCGTAGTCATATATAGGCAAGCTACTCTTTCTTAGCCAATCTTGAGTGCATATCAATGCCTCCACAATCACAATGAACAAATTAGTACGGTAGTCGGTAATTACTCGACGACCATTACTGAATGTGGATTCGGATGCTACGGTGGAAATTTACATCCCCAAAATATCTATTAATAAACAAATTAGTGTATAATACACGACACAAATTTATAAATTAAAATTTTAAATTAGAGTAAAAGAAGGTCGATACCTCTTGCCATTCGAGCAACGATTGGAAACCGCACCGCATTATTTTTCCACCATGTGAGGATATCATATCCTTTGTCAAATCCGATTGGGTCCTCGTTTAAGTATCGTTGCAATTGACTTTCTGACGAAGTCGAGGGGAAACTTCCCGAAGTCATATAGCTTCCAAAGAATTCATTTTCGTCATCAAAATTAACAACTTCTTCGGGAGTTTCTTGTTGAGACGATGAGGTCATGTTTGACCTTTCCAAGTATGTCTTGAAAAACTTGTCCAATTTTCATTCAATATCAATAACCTTTTCACGTGCTTTGGATTCTATCTCATCAGCGGACATCTTTTTATCTTTGTTTTTGGCTTTAAGCATTTGGGTAAAAACAACTTTCATAAACTTTGACTTGCATTGAGGATCTAACAATGTCGCAAAGAAGACATAATCACTTATAGTATCATAATCACCCCAATATTTGCCATATTTATCTTTCATATCCGGTACCATAAACATAAAATCCGGGTTGGTTTCATGTTTCCTAAGATGTTGCTCTATATTTAGGATCTCCCGGGTATACATATGGAAGATAGGCTTTGTTGAACACGAAACTTTTTCAGTTTTCTTCTTAAACTTCTCAAGGAACTCCATCATCTTTTTAATCATCTCAAAATCTGAATGTGATGGTACCCTTCCCACAGTTTTCTGAAACATTGGATCTACAAAAAAAGAACAACAAAATCAGATTACGTTTTATTGTTGTTAGAAAAAAAAAATCAGATTTGACACCCTTCCTTGCGGGGCTTGTAATTCATTCAATTTTTAACCAAATCAAGCGTTTTTATAGTCTAAATTCAACTACTAATCCTAATCTACATGTAGGAAAAAGATTCAGGTCAAAACAAGTTAAATTGAATGATTTATGCACATTTGAACAACAAAAGCACATCACGTTTTATTGCTGTTAGAAAAAAAAATTCAGATTTGACACCCTTCCTTGCGGGGTTGTAACTCATTCAATTTTTAACCAAATGAAGTGTTTTTATAGTCTAAACTCAACTACAAATCCTAATCTACATGTAGGAAAATGATTCATGTCAAAACAAGTTAAATTGAACTAGTTATGCACAATTTAATATTTGGACTGATTGCTAAAGAAATAAATATTGCTAATTTTAGTGCTGAAATATATTTGATTAATTGATTTTATTTACCTTGATGGCTATATTCAAGAAATGCGTCTTTCACATCGTACGCTGATCTTAGAAATTTAAAGGTAGAGTTCCACCTTGTTGGAGTTTCACCACACAAAAACCTTTGACTTTCTACAGCCGCATCCTTCATGGCTTGTTTAAACATCTTGATCCGTTGCGGGGAGGCTCTAATGTATTTCACCGCATCTTGTAGGTTTTTTACATGATAAACTTCGTGTTTCAACCCCATTTTCACAACTAGGTTTATGATATGAGCCATACACCTAATGTGAAAATGTTTGCCATTCTCGTAAATACCCGGTAGTTCTTTCACAATGATGTTGATTGCCGCGTCATTTGTCTTGGCATTATCAACAGTCATCGTCATGACATTCTTCATCCCCCACTCGTTTATGCAAATTAGCAACTCCCAGGCCATGTCTTCAGCTTTATGAGTATCAACCTCTCTAAAGTTGACTACCCTTTTGTGCATGACAAAACCTTCGGTAATGAAGTGGGCCGTGACAACCATATAATTTATCTTTTGACACGAGGATGTCCACGTGTCGGTTGTCAAGTGGATGGCTATTTTGGGGTTGCTCAAATGTTTGTACAACTTCTGCCTCTCCATTAAATAGAATGACACAACATCACGAGAAATTTTATGCCTTGAAGGCAATTTCAGCCTACCATTGAGGGCGTTTACAAATTCTATGAATGCCTCGTTTTCAATGAATTTAAATGGTAGTTCCCCGATGGTGAAAAGCCCTAGCAAGGCAAGTTGGATCCTAGTATCATCATGTTTCCATGTGTATACATGACCCTCACCATTAGGAGCTTTCGTAAATGACAACTTTTGTTGTTTGTCATCAACTTGTTTCGGTATGTTGTCTGGATTTAACTTGCACCCATTAAAATGCTTGTTTATTGAAGTTGTACCATTCCGGTTTGGATCTGCGGCTAGTAAATGTAAACAATAATTACATTCGACCCACTTTCTTTCAATTCCATCGTCCTCCTTTATCATTCGATCTCGAAGTATTTCCAAACAGGAGCGGTACAATTATCTCTACCCTCACCTCGTCTGGTTGGGTTAATCCGGTCCCTTAACTCCTTTTGAGTCTTTTTTTTGTTTTTGGGTTTTGGTTTGTTGGGTATTTTTCTTGTGTTCGTTTTGTGGTGGTGGTGGTTTTTTGTTTGTGTTGGTTTTTTTGGTTGTCTTTGTTTTGTGTGGTTGCAAATTTTCGTTTTTTGAAGGTTGTTGTTCTTGTGGCTCCTCTTCTTGGTTTGATTCATCACTTGGTATAACATTCAATGCCGGTGTTTCTTCTATATAATCTTCTTCTGAATCTTCTCCATAATCCTATATTCACAAAATAAAACATATAATAAGTCATATTACGTTTAAATGCTGAAAAATAAATATAAAAAAAATCAGATTTGACACCCTTCCTTGTGGGGCTTGTAACTCATTCAATTTTTAACCAAATCAAGCGTTTTTATAGTGTAAACTCAACTAAAAATCCTAATCTACATGTAGGAAAAAGATTCAGGTCAAAACAAGTTAAATTGAATGAGTTATGTATATTTGAACAACAAAATCACATCACGTTTTATTGCTGTTAGAAAAAAAAATCAGATTTGACACCCTTCCTTGCGGGGCTTGTAACTCATTCAATGTTTAACCAAATCAAGCGTTTTTATAGTCTAAATTCAACTACAAATCCTAATCTACATGTAGGAAAAAGATTCAGATCAAAACAAGTTAAATTGAATGAGTTATGCACATTTGAACAATAAAATCACATCACGTTTTATTGTTGTTACAAAAAAAATCAGATTTGACACCCTTCCTTGCGGGGCTTGTAACTCATTCAATGTTTAACCAAATCAAGCGTTTTTATAGTGTAAACTCAACTACAAATCCTAATCTACATTTAGGAAAACGTTTCAGGTCAAAACAAGTTAAATTGAACTAGTTATGCACAATTTAATATTTGGACAGATTGCTAAAGAAATAAATATTGCTAATGAGCTAAATACTAATCTTACTTGGTCATCAAAGTCTTTTCCAATCCAATTAGCCGGATTACCATCATGAGCATCCGAGTTTCGATATCTTGATGATGGTACATTTGGTAGCCCATCCAAATCCTACAATGTCAATTTTACCATTTTACACATTAATTATATAACAAAAGTACTATACAAATTCGTAGTTTTGACAATCTTACATAATTACATTCATACTATAAACAATAAAATAATCTAACAAAAATTTTGCATGTATGTCTACAAAGTACATTGTTAAATGGAGCTTAAAACATGAAACAACCTTTCATCCATAAAGGAGTACTCCACTATGAGACTATGATCAAGAATCAAGATCTTTTAATTAAGTAGGGATAACAATGCATATATTTGGAATGGAGACAACAAAACCAAAGAAAAAAAAACATGCATGCATGCCATTATTTGGTGAATCATTGAAGCATTGAAGATTTGAAGCTAATATTGAAGTATATAATCATAAAACATGAAATATAAATATATGCTCTTACTTGATCTTCATGAACATCCATAGTTTGAATCATTGAAGCAATTGAAGATGAAAATCAATGAATGATGATAAAGAATTGAAGATCGATTGAAACTTGGAGATGGAAACTTGTAATCGATGGAAACTTGGAGATGAAGAATTGATCAATTGAATGATGATGAAGTGATGCTGATTGCCGATTGTTGAAGAGAGTAGGGTTCGATCGTGAACTTGGAGTTGGGACATGGGATCGTGGTAGCCGGCAGGAGGTGGGATCGTGGCTGTGACTCACAAGAAGCCAAGAACGATTGCGGTTTTTTTTTGTTATAAGACCGAATGACTGATTGCGATTTGAGAGTAGATGGGAGGAAGAAGTTTTTTTTGTGTGTATCGCAAGCAGGAGCTGGGATTCGATCGTGCTCATCAAGTCATCCCTACGTGACATGGTTTTCTAGCCGGGCCGGTTCCCGGTTTTGGGCCGGTTCCAATAGCCGGTTCTTTCCGGGTCCCGGTTCCAAATAATCACAAATTTGTAGTATAGGTCCCGGCCCGACCGGTTCCATCGAGTGCCGGTTCCGGGACCGGTTCCGGCCGGTTCCCCGGTCCTTTTGCTCATCCCTATGTATTAACATCAAATTCACATTTTCCTAAAGTAACTAAGATTGAGAATTTTATAAAAAAACATTTAGTTACTTTATATTTTCATTATACTTATTAATGAGAGATTAATGTCCTATCCTAGTTGTTCGGCTAACAACCATCCACCAATCAAGGAAGCTGTGGGTGAGAGTCAACACCCATTCAATCGTCATTTTATAGGCAGTTTCTTTATACCCCCTTATAGATCAACTTCGTGAATGAGATCTACTAACGGTAAGACTGACATTTTCTTATATATATATATATATATATATATATATATGTGTGTGTGTGTGTGTGTGTATTAAACTTTTAATTTTATAATAATATAAGGGTGTATTTTAAACTTTTAAAATACTAGGGTTCTAAAATTTAAGATTTCAAAATAAAACTATTTGATCAAATTTTATATTATAAAACTACATGGTGTATTTTTAAAACTTTTCAAAAATACTAGATCAAATTTTAAATAATTAAATTAACAATTAATTTTGTCTTTATCTTAAAATTTGACCAAATCGTTTATTTTGATAAGGATACACATTACCTTTTCTAGAAATTCAATTTTAAGCGGTTAAAACGAATTAAGGTAATTATCCTAATGTAATCAAGATATCAAAATCGAAAAATCAGGCATCTGATGAGTCAAGTCGTCGAGTCAGGCAATGAATTCGTCAAGTTCCACTATAAACTCGTTGAGTTTGTAGAACAGATTGATGAATCTGCTCCCTTCTCCTTTGTACAATTCGCTATTGTATCAAATTCAACTGAAAAACATCTTAGGCTCTAATACCACTAGTGGGTTTTAAGCATAACTACAACATATATGATCATACAACCCTAATTGCTTTGGATGTAAGTTTTTCACTAGCTGAACATGCAAATTTAATACCAAATAAATAACCCTAAGATCTAGTATATAAATAAAAGTCAAAGGGTTTAGAAGTTTACCTTGCTTGTTATGTTGTAATAACAAGAACACCTTTTAGATGTTGACTCTTGAAAGCTTAGTGCCTCAAATGTTGCACCTTTAAGGGTGTAAAAACACCACTAGCAAAAGGATGAGAGGAGAGAGGAGGGAAGGCACTGAATTCCGGCTAGAGTTCCACAAATGCAAGCATTGGCCGAAACTGCTTAGGGTTGGGATCTTTATATAGCTAAAGGCTACTAGGGTTTGCTGAAGGAAACCCTAATTTCCTGCTTAAGGCTTAAGCAGCCCATAGACTCTTATTACAAATCCTTGGATGAAATCTAAAGGTCATCCCTATAGTTTTTCTACACTCCTAACTAAGGAGTCCAGTAGCCTAGTTTCACAACTATCAATGATTTGCAAAACAGCTCATGTTCCTTTAATTGATTCCTTTAATTCCAAAATTAATTTATGATTAAATACTAATTAAATAACATGATCTCTAGTTAATATATTATTCTCATAATACATTAATAAATCAATTTACTATTCTAAATAATAAATATAACCTTTCTCTCCAAAAGTCATCCTGTCAAGTTGCTAGAGTGAAGGCAACCCAAAAGGACCATGCTACTATCAAATCAAGTGCACACCAATTATAGTTATGGGCTTAGAAACCTAATCCAACTGAATCCACTCCTCCTACTACTATTGCTCCATTCATGGCTATTGGTCAAGGGAAGGGGAAAAAGAGGAAAGCTCCCTCTAAAGCTGGAAGGGAAAGTCTCATGAAGGATCTTCTTGAGGACCCAAAGGAAAATCCGGTTCTACTCCCCCTGCTTCAGATCCAAAATAGGCAACGTACTTCTAGTGCCAATACAAGTGGCATTGGAAGAGAAGCTTCCCCAAGTACCTACATGACATTAAGGATTGCAAGATCAAGCCTCCCTCAGCAAGTATTTACACTAATTTATCTAAACACTCATCGCATTCGAATTCTTTGGTCCTTGATACATGATGTGATTTTCACATTTTCTCTGACTTACAGGGACTAAGAGAAAGTAGGAATATGGAGCTTGGGAAGATGAACCTGATAATGGGCAATATGAGATCATCACATGTTACCAATATCGGCGTTTACTCTTTAATGCTTAGCAGTGGGTTGTGCTTAGACTTGGATAATTATTGATACTCATCAGAAATAACAAGGAATATTATTTCTTTTCATAGTTTGTACAGAAAAGGTTTTCTATGTTCTTTCAATAATAAGAATGGTTCTATTAATGCTTATTATAATGGTCTTTTTTATTTTGAAGCATTACCTTGTGATGGTGTATATGAAACTGTGATGGTTGTAGACAATTTAGGAAATATTGTGTTGCATATTAATTCGTCTAATAGTTTAGACAAAGCATGCTTCTAGAATTTTCATCTTGGACATGTCAACAAGAAACGCATTGCCCAACTCCAAAAGGATGGAGTGTTGGAATCATTTGACCTAAGGTCAAATGATACATGGGAATCTTGTTTTCTTAGAAATATGACTAAATCACCTTTCACAGGTTTGTGTGAAAGAGGTAATGGATTGTTGGATCTCATACACACTAATGTCTGTGCGCCCTTCAGATCCGCGACAAGGGATGCAAGTCGATTTTATGTGACTTTTATTGATGATTATAGCAGATTTGGATATATCTACTCAATTAAGCATAATTCAAACACCTTTGAAAAGTTCAAAGAGTTTAAACAAGAAGTCAAAAATCAATTGGGCAGGAAGATCAAGATGCTCAGATCCGATAGGGGTGATGAGTATCTTAGTATCGAGTTCCACAACTACCTCAAGGAATGTGGAGTTGTTTCACAATTGACACCTCCTAGAACACCACAACTTAATGGTATGGTAGAGAGGCATAATCAAACCTTGTTGGACATGGTTCATTCCATGATGAGTCGAGCTTCGCTACCGATATCGTTCTGGGGGTATGCCTTGGATATTGTCGCCCATATCCTTAATCTAGTACTGATAAAGAAGGTTGCCAAAACACCTCACAAGATGTGGACAGGGAAGGTTACCTTATTGGCACATATCAAGGTTTGGGGTTGTGAAGCTTTCATTATACGAGACTCACAACATGCTTGAATCTCGAAGTGAGCAATATATTTTCAACAGCTACCCACAGAAGTCCTTTGGATACTTGTTTTACAGACCTAGTGAGAACGTGGTCTTTGTAGCATGAAGTGGAGTTTTCTACGAGAGGGAACTCATATGCTAAGAGGAAAGTGGGAGTATAATTGATCTTGAAGAAATTCCAGAGTCAAGCGATGAAGGAACCTCTAACACTAGCACTCAACCCGAGGAAGAAATTTCTGTTGGACCAATTGACGAGTCATTACCTCTTAGGTGTTCCACTCGAGTTAGAATGACACCAGAGTTTTATGGTTTTCATATTACTACAGATGGTGATACATTTATTAGTGATAGTATACTGGTACGGCCGACGAGTTTGCTAAATGGAAAGAGGCAATGGACAGCGAGATCTAGTCATTGTATGACAATCAAGTTTGGAACTTGGTTGACAATGTACTAGGTCGTAAGACATTTGGGTGCAAATGGATCTTCAAGAAGAAGACTGACATGGATGGAAAGGTACACACGTTCAATGCACATATGGTTGTGAAGGGCCTTACTCAAACCCTAGGGGTTGACTATGATGAGACCTTCTTACCAGTGGCTAAGATCAAATCTATTAGGGTTATTCTAGCCATAGCTACATTTCATGATTATGAAATATAGCAGACGAATGTTAAAACCACTTTCCTTAATGGAAAGTTGGTTGAAGATGTTTACATGAGTCAACCAAAGGGTTTTGTAGATGCTAGTACTCCAATGGAGTGTGTAAGCTTGAGAAATCAATCTATGGATTAAAAAAGCTTCTTGCATATGGAATCTTTGCTTTGATGAGAAGATCAGAGAGTTTGGCTTCTCTTGGAGTGAGGATAAGTTATGTGTATATGTCAAAGATAGTGGAAGTATAGTTAGCTTTCTAGTATTGTATGTTGATGACATACTGCTCACAGGAAACGATGTTCCAACATCGTAGGAAGTTAAGTCCTAGCTTGGAAAGTGTTTCGCTATGAAGGATCTTCCAGAGGCTACTTATATTCTAGGAATAAGGATATTCAGAAATAGGAGTAGAAGACTAACTGGACTTAGTCAAAGTACTTACTTGGATAAAGTACTAAAGCGTTTTTGCCATGGAGAATTCCAAGAAATGAGAATTACCTATCCAGAGCAACACCAAGTTGAGTAAGACTCAGAGCCCGAGTATCGATGCCGAGATAGCAGAAATGAGTCGAGTTCCATATGCTTACGTTGTTGGCTTGATCATGTATGCTATTATATGTACTCAACATGATGTGACTTTTATTTTGAGCATGGTTAGTCGATATCAAGGGAACCCAGTTAAATCTCATTGGATAGCGGTTAAGAACATTCTTAAGTATCTGCGAAGGATGAATAAATGGTTCCTTGTGCTTGGGGCAATGATGAA